GAAAAAACAAGTAATAGATTCTCCCGTAGAGTCTCCAGGAGTAGGTCATGCTGACATCTTGATTTTAGCCCAGAGAAACCGTTTTTGGACGTCTGGCCACAGGATAATAAATATGTGCTATTTTAAGTCACCAATTTTGTGGTAGTTTGTTACAGCACCCATAGGAAATTAATACACGGAGGATGTAAATCTTAACAGTAGTGAGTGTTCTATGAACACAGTATATTTCTCCATTTATTTAGATCTTTAATTTTTCTAGGCAGTTGTGAACTGAATGTGTCCCGTCAAAAATCACAAGTTGACTCTAATCCCCAATGTGATGGTATTTGGAGACAGGGCATTGGGAGGTGATTAGGTTATGAGCGTGGAACCCTCATGGTTGGAACTAGTGTCCTTATAAGAAGAGACCAGAGAGCTAGCTCACTCTCTTTTCACCATGTGAAGGGTGTGAGAAGTCTGCCATCTGCCACCCAGAAGGCAGCACTCGCCAGAACCCAGACGTGCTGGCATCCTGATCTCCAACTTCCAGCCTCTGAAACTGTGAGGAATAAATTTCTATTGTTTATTAGCTTCCCCACAGTCCTACCAGTGTTTTGTAGTTGTCAGTATATAGGTTTTGCATATATGTTGTTACGTTTATCCCTGTTTTATATTTGTGATGCTATTGTAAATGGTGGATTTTTCATAAACTTTTAATTTTTGAATAGTTTTAAATTTATAGGAAAGTTGCAGTAAATGATATATATTTTTACGTTTCTGTTTCCAATTTGTCATAGCTACTATATAGAAATGCAATAATTTTTGTACATTTACCTTGTATCCTTCAATTTTGTTAAATTCACTTACTAGATCTACTAGCTTTTTCGTAGATTCCTTAGGATTTCCTACACAGAAAATCATGTTGTCTGTAGATAATGACAGGTTTACTTCTTTCTTTCAAAACTATATTCTTTTAATTTCTTTTTATCATGTTATTGTTGTGGCTAGGACCTTTAGTACAATGTTGAATAGATGCGTTGAAGTGGACAAACTTGCCGTGTTTCCTGTCTTAAGGGGAAAGTATTGAGTCTCTCACCATTAAGCATTATAACTACAGGTTTTTCATAGATGCTTCTCTACTCCTAATTTGTTTAGAGCTTTTACCTTGAATGGGTAGCAAATTATGTCAAATGCTTTTTAAACAACTATTGAGATGATCATGTGATTTTTCTTTTTCGGCCTACTAATACCACGAAGGTTGCTAACTGATTTTCAGATATTAATCCAGGATTGTGATCTTGCAATCCCAGCTAAACCAGACTTAGTCATAATGTAGTATCCTTATATATTGCTGAATTCAGTTGGCTAAAATCTTTTGAGGATCTTTGCATCTCTGTTCATGAGAGATATTGGTCTGTAGTTTTCTTTCTTGGCCAGTTTTGGTATCAGGGTAATGCTGGCTTCATAAAATAAATTGGGAAATGTTCCCCCCTCATCTTTTTTGCAAGAGTTTGTGAAGAATTGCTGCTATTTCCTCTTTAAATGTTTGGTAGATTTTGCCATGGCCTGACATTTTCTTTGTGAAAAAAGTTTTAACTAGAATTGCAGTTTCCATGTCTTTGTTTCAAGAAATTTCCTGGCATAAAGTTGTTTATAATATCCCCTACTTATCCCTTTAGTATTTTTAGGATTTGTAGTGATATCCCTGCTTTCATTCTTGATGTTAATAATTTGAGCCTACTCTTTCTTACTGATTACTCTGGCTATAGATTTACCAATTTTCTTATTTTCTCAAAGAAACTGCTTTTAGTTTCATAGATTTTTTTCTCTAATGCCTTTTTACTGTATTTTATTGATTAATGTGCTTATATTTATCAGTTTGTTCTTTCTGTTTACTTTTTAAAAATTTCCTTCCCTTTCTTACATGGAGGTTCCTTACCTCCACGTTCTTTCTATTTTCATAAGATAGAATCTTAGATTATTGACTTGATATCTTTTCTAATGTAAGTATTTGATGCTAAAATTTCCCTTAAGTACTGCTTTAGTGTATCTCACAAATTTTGGTATATTGTGTTTTTGCCTTTATTTAATCCAAAATATTTTTCAATTTTCTTCATAGTCTTTGACCTATGGAGTATTTAGCAGTGTGGCATTTAATTTTCAAGTATTTCGAGAATTTTCCAGATATTTTTCTACTGTTGATTTCTAGTTTGACTCCATTGTGCTTATTTACTTTGTGTGATTTCAGTCCTTTTAAATTTGTTGAGCCTTGTTTTATGGCCCAGAATTCAATCTGTCTTGGTGAATGTTCCATGTGTTTTTGAAAGGAATCTGTATTTTGCTTTTGTTGGGAAGAACTCATTAATATTAATTAGGTCAAGTTGGTTGATAGTGTTGCTATAGTCATATATATCCTTAGTAATTTTCTGTTTGTGTTCTGTTAGTAAGAAAGGAATGTTAATTTCCATTTAGTTTGATTTTTTTTATTTCTCCTTTTAGATTGATCAGTATTTTCTACATGTATTGTGAAACTTTGTTATTAGGCATATAAACATTTATGATTGTTAGATCTTGACAGATTGACCCCTTTATCATTATGAAGTGCCTCTATTTGTCCCTGGAAATAGTCCTTGTTCAAAAATATACTGTGTCTTATGTTGTGGTAGGCAGAATGCCCCACCCCCACAAATACACAGATACTCAGGCCTTAAGCCCTGAAACTTGTGAATATGTTATTTTACATGGCAAAGGGGACTTTGAAGATATATTTATTAGCATTAGTTTCTGCTGTTACCATGACAAATTACTGAAACTACTCAAGCTTATTATCTCTCAGTTCTTTAGGTCAGAAGTCCGGGTACAGCATGACTCAGATGGGTCTTCTGCCTAGTTTCACAGGGTCAAAATCAAAGTGTTAGGAGGGCTCTGTTCCTTTCTGGAGCCTCCAGGGATTCATCTGCTTTCAAGCACATTTGGGCTATTGTCAGAATTTAGTTCCTTGGGGTTGTAGAGCTGAGGTCCCCTTTACCTTGCTGGCTGTCAACTGTGAGTTATTCTCAGCTTCTGAAGCCTGCCTGCATTCCTTGGTTCGTGGTTCCTTACCTCCGTGTTCAAAGGTAGAAGTAGCAGGCTGAATCCTTCTCAAGTCTGGAATCTCTCTGACTTCTGCCTCATCTCTCTTCCACCACATCTCTCTGACTTACTCTTCTGCTGTCTTAAGGGCTCATGTGATTACACTGGGCACACCTGGATAATCCAGTATAATCTCCCTATTGTAAAGTTAGCTGATTAGTAACCTTAATTCCATCTGCAAAGTCCCCTCACAGTATTACTTAGATTACTGTTTGATTGAATAATCAGGGCACAGGAATCCTGGAAAACTTCTTTAGAATTCTGCCTACCACAGTTATGGACCTTAAAATAGGGAGAGTAGCCTGGCTTAACCAGGTGGACCCAGTTTCATCACATGAACTCTTAAAAGCAGAGGACTTTCTCTCACTGGAAGCAGAAGCGATATGGCAGAAGAAGTGAGAAAACAATCCCAAGCATGAGAAAGATTCAGTATGCTATAGCTTGTTACTGGCTTTGAGATGTAGGGGCCTATTTGCAAGGACCCAATAGAAGCCGCTACCATCTAAGATCAACTGCAGGGTGACAGCAAGCAAAGAGACATGTACCTCAGTCCTACAACCACAAGAAACTGGATTCTGCCAACAACCTGAATGAGCTTAGAAGTGGATTCTGCCAGAGTCCCTTGATAAGCATTCCACCAACCGACATCTTTATTTCAGCCTTGTGAGGTTCTGAGTAGAGAAACCAACCAAGCTCATCTGGCCTTCTGTCATATAGAACTGTGAGATAATAAATTTACATTGTTTTAAGCTGCTAAGTTTGTGGTAATTTGTTATAGCAGCAATGGAAGACTTAAACAGATGTTAATATAGTCATTCCAGCTTTCTTTTGGTTAGTGTTTATTTGGTATAACTTTTTCTTTCCTTTTGCTTTTAATCTGTCTGTGTCTTTATAGATAGATAAAGTGGGATTCTTATAGGCAGCATATAGTGCCTTGCTTACTAATCCAATCCGATCATCTTTGTCTTTCAGTTGGCCATTTATATTTAATATAGTTATTGACAGGGTTGAATTTTAACGACTTTCTTGCTGCAGCCTGGAAGCTGCCTCTGATCTGCAAACTGCGGCAATAGTGGGGTTTACCTCCTTTGTTTCCTCCCTCTCACGTGTTCTCCACTGCCTGTTGTCAATGTCTGAAAACTGTTCTTTTGTAGATGCTATCAAGTTTCTTATTTAGGTGGGAAGGTAAATTATATTCCCATTATTAAATCAAGGCTGGAAATAGAGGTCCTCAAGAGTATAATTTCTAATTATTTCAAGGACATCTTCAGTAGCGATTCCCTTTTATATGAGACGTGAGCATGTGTGTATGTGTAATTTATTCATTCATAGAAAGTATAATACATATACTAAAATGTTCATGCCATATGAATATGACAGATGGCTGCCTTTTTAGAAATAGAATCAGTCAGTGATAGAACTTGACCATTTTCAGAGCACATCAGCCTTTTCCAGTCTCTGTGTCTTGGTATAGCTAGTTCCTTCTGCCTGGAATACTTCCTCATCTCACTTCCTTTCCTGCCTGGCAGCTTTCTGCTTGCCCTCTGGAACCAGCTCCAGGGTCACCACCTCTCTGCTTCTGAGTGCCTCAGACACAATCTGTATTTCCTCTTCCAAGCTCTCGTCACAAACATCATGCTGTATTATATGTTTCTGTGTGGTCTTCCTTCTATGAGGAAGCCTTGGAAAGCAGGAGACTTATTTTAGACTTCTTTATGTTTCTCTTATTCCTAACACATTATGTCTGCCCCATAGACCTTTTCAATAAATGATTGGTTAAGCTAGTGACTCCTTTTACATGCTGACAAATATGGCTCTTATTGCTCCCCATTTCAGTATCACATATTTGTGAAAGTGAATCCTCTTTAATCGTTTTACTTTTCTCCTAGTAAATTCCTCATCTATGCCTGTCTGCTGCTGTTCTCTGTGCTGCTGGCCCTTCGTTTGGATGGCATCATACAGTGGAGTTACTGGGCTGTCTTCGCTCCAATATGGCTGTGGAAGTTAATGGTCATTGTTGGAGCTTCAGTTGGAACTGGAGTCTGGGCACGAAATCCTCAATATCGGTAATACTGCTTTATACAACTCATTGGTCTCTAGCATGAGGGAGCAATATCTTGACTTTTCTCACTTTTGATGAAGTAAGGACCATTTTATTTTCTGCCTATCTGGGGTCTTAGAACTATAGTATAAGCTAACAGATCTCTTCTGTGTTTTTGAAAATTTGGTCTTTGGTATGTAGTTTCTTACAAAAGCAGTGCCATTTGGGGGGTAAGTTGCCAGCCAGCTCACAAATGCCTGTATAATCCAAAATGTACCCAAAATACAGAACTGGTATGCCATACTAGACTAAGCAGCATGAAACCACCCTGTTTTTAGGAAAAGACACTCATATTATGTTTGGTCATGAAAGATCTGTCTCCAATTCAGTTTTGAAGCTGGGGCTCCCATTGTCCCACCCTCCTAGTCCCAGAGCTTTAGGACTATTAGTAGTGTAAGGGAGGTGGCTTGGCCAGGAGACCATGAGTCCCTGAGACAGCAGCTGGGGAATGAGGAAAGTCAAGGGTTGGATGCCAAGAAGGAAAGCAGAGCCTTTGGGGGCAGGAGAGAGGAGTACCCTTTACTGTTTCCAACTCTTGCCCTCCCTGCTCTTGGATACCTCTGCTGGCCCAAATTCTTGGGAGTTGGCTCACACCAGCATGCAGCCTGGTGGTGCTGGGACCTGCAAGAGACTTTCCCTTCTCTGCCACAGAGACTGTAACTACATAAAGGGAAAAAGGGGGACTTAAGACTGGGAGGCTATTATGAACCTTCACTGGGAAGATGAGGAGTACAGGAATTCCCAGAAGGCAGCTGCTCGTGTGGGAAAAGTGTAAAGTTGAAACTTTTTTTTTTTTTTTTTGAGAAGGAGTTTCGCTCTTGTTGTCCAGGCTGGAGTGCAATGACGTGATCTCAGCCCACTGCAACCTCCACGTCCTGGGTTCAAGTGATTCTCCTGCCTCAGCCTCCTGAGTAGCTGGGATTACGGCACCTGCCACCATGCCCAGCTAATTTTTTGTATTTTTAGTAGAGATAGGGTTTTACCATGCCAGGCTGGTTTCAAACTCCTGACCTCAGGTGATCCACCCACCTTGGCCTCCCAAAGTGCTGGGATTACAGGTGTGAGCCACCACGTCCAGCCACTACATCAACTTTTTAAATTTTTGTTTACTAAATATAAAAATGATTCAGATCATGTAAATTCCATATCACATACATGTCTAAGAACTGTAAAACAGTTACACAGAGAGCCTTGGCAGATGAGGAACATTCATGTATAGCTGTTTCAAGGTTCTTAGATTTTGTTTTGAAAGATTGATGGCCTGTGTGGCTGTATATGTTTTCTTTTTTTTATGAGATATTTCAGATAATCTAATGTTTGCTTCTCAAAGAATGCAAAGTTAAATAAACATTTAGGTTCTACTAATTGATATTTAGAATATATTCAAACTTCTCTTTGTTGGTCTTATTTAAGATGCTTTGAGCAAGGAAAGGAATTGTGTATGTGGGGTTGAATAAGGAATGTACAGGCGTGGTCATTCTCGTGTTAACATTAACCAGTGGAACACGGTTGGGTCCTACAGGAATAACCTCTGATAGCATTTTCTCTGTGATCTAACTTCTGGTGTATTTATCACCCACAATACATGTATATCATAAATGTTCATCTGTATTTTGAATAAACATTGTAGGCCTTTCAAATGCATTATAGAGCCGTTTCCTGATTGCTGGCCTTACCATTGCTCAATTGTAGATCTGTTAAGTTTATTGTGTATGATACTTAACTAATTAAACTGATTTTGTTTGAGAACAGTTTTAACTCTTGTTCTTCTTTCTCTTTCATCTGCAGGTGTTAATGTATCTTAATGGAATAGAAAGGAAAATGAAAATCATTTATATGTTTTATTTGCATTTTAAAATAGCACCTAACAATAGTTACTACCATCTTGTTGAAATATAACTGGCACTTGTTCATAGAACTAGAGTTATTTTTATAATATTGTGTGAAGGATGGTTTACATGGTTTTTAATTCATTGAAAAATGAGGATCGTGAGACTTAAGGGGTATTTGCCTGGTTTTAGCAGCAGAAGCAAATCAGCTTGAATACTCTTGGAAGTAACTCGTTGTTGAATTTAAAGATGTGAACAGAAGTGTTTATGTACATTGTCAGGGAAATAACTGGCTATTACTTTTGAGAATATGCCTATACAGTTAAAACATTAAATTCTGGTTTGGTTGTAATGTTCATTTGGTATTATGTAGTAGTTCTTCGATGTTTCAGAGATTGCCTACCAAAGCTTAGGTTTAAGTTAGCTTTCTACCTGATTTCCCTTACTTTTGTCAAATTTTCAAGTAAAATTCAAAGTATCAGTATAAGTTGGTATTTGCCCTGAACTGCTTGCTTATAATGGAGATTCTGAAATGAGGGTGTTTTCTTCTTCTCTCCCTTTTTAGAGCAGAAGGAGAAACATGTGTGGAGTTTAAAGCCATGTTGATTGCAGTGGGCATCCACTTGCTCTTGTTGATGTTTGAAGTTCTAGTCTGTGACAGAATCGAGAGAGGAAGCCATTTCTGGCTCCTGGTCTTCATGCCGCTGTTCTTTGTTTCCCCGGTGTCTGTTGCAGCTTGTGTTTGGGGCTTTCGACATGACAGGTCACTAGAGGTGAGATTTCATATATTTAAGAATGTTTTCCACTTTGGGAGGTCAAGGCAGGCGGATCACTTGAGGTCGGGAGTTCGAGACCAGACTGGCCAACATGGTGAAACCCCATCTCTACTAATAATACAAAAATTAGCCGGGTGTGGTGGCATGTGCCAATAATCCCAGCTTCTCAAGAGGCTGAGGCTGGAGAATCTCTTGAACCCAGGAGGTGGAGGTGGCAGTGAGCCAAGATTGCACCATTGCACTCCAGTCTGGGTGATAGAGTGAAACTCCATCTTAAAAAGAAAAAAAAAAAAAGAATGTTTTCAAAAGTAAAATATTTTGCTCAGTTATTCAGATGTCAGTTTTTTTACCCTTTGTTAGGAAGAGTTTGATCATTAACAACTCTACATCATGAGACAACAAGGCAACAAAAGACAATGGAAATAACCATTTTTCTTTCTTCACTTAGAACACTAACTTTTCACCCAGGACATCAGCCTTCTCTCAGCTTCATATCCTGTATCAGACAGAAACAGAACTGATAGGTTAGATACAGATGTACATATAAAGAGAGTTAAGGAACTGGCTCACATTACTGTGGGGCTGCCAAGTCTGAAATCTCCATGGCAGGTGAACAGGCTGGAGACCTAAGAGGAGTTGACACTGCAGTCCTGGCACAGAATTTCTTCCTCTCCAGGAAACCACAGTTTTTGCTTTTAAGGCCTTCACCTGATTGCGTGAGGCCCACCCATGCTATGGAGGGTAGTCTCCTTTATTCAAAGTCAGTCAGTACCTTCATAGCAACACCAAGCTTAGTGTTTGATTAAATAACTGGGTACTATAGCCCAGCCAAGTTGACACTCAAAACTGACCATCTTCCCACCTCAGACCCCATGATTAAGCACCTCCCCTGCTCTCTGGTTAGCTTATACTGATGTGCCCATGTGTTTGTTTATTCATTCAATAAACATTTATCAAGTATTTACTGGATGCCAAGTCCTTTTTCCTTAAGCATAGGGGATATGCAGATGAATAAAATACCAGGACTAGTAATAGTAGTAATGAAAATAATTGCAGATAATGTTTATTGAGCACTTACTGTGTGCCAGGCATTGTGCTAGGCACATCACATGCAGTAGTTTTCTTATTAACTATTCACAACCCTGTGAGGTAGGTCCAGAGAAGATAAGTCATTTGTTCATGGCCACATGCGAAGGGGCAGAACGAGGATTCCATTTGAGTCGGCCCAACTCTAAAGCCTGGGCACATAACTACATAACTGCACAGAAGCTGAGGGCCCAAAGCTGAATACTGATGGGTTAAGGGGAGAACTAGAGGCTAGAGATGCCTGGTTTTGAGCTGTGTGGATAAAGAGTGAAGGAAGAAGACCGCAGTTGGCTTAGGAAGTAAACATAGCAGCCGTAGGGTGGGTCAGGCATATAAGCCTGGACCCCAGGTATAGGCGTGAGGGGAAGGTACCTAGACAGAGGGATGGTGATGGAGCAAGGCCCTGTGGGACTCAGGGAGAATGGGACCCGGAGAACCAGGAAGGGTTTGGCCTTGAACAAGGGGAGATAGTCCCTGATTTTCATGCTGGTGGAAAGGCCACAGCATGGGTATGACTGGTAGGTAGGAGTGAGCTATGGAGGGAGAGTATCTGGTGGTCCACTTTCACCCTCCCTAGAATTCCCAGTTTATATCAGGGACTTGAGCATCCATGGATTTTGGTATCCACGGGGGGTCCTGGAACCAATACAAGGGCTAGGACTGCATTGGGCCTGAATTGCAGAAAGTAAGTCTTTCATACATTCACACTCTTGGCATTCCTGCCCTTGGAAGAAACAACATACCAGGAGCTGAGCTCCCTCCTCCTGTGACGCAAGAACAGTACCTACGTTGGTAAGGGGGTGGTTTGGAGTAGGCTCATGCAGAGATGGGAAGGAGGAGTTGAGGGTCTGCCAGGGAGCCCTGTGTCGGGAGGAAAGGGATGGCATTTTTGGGACACATTGAAGCGTAGAGGCAGGAAACACTCCATCAGCTGAGTGGACTGTGGCAGTTCAGATCCGACGGGAGCACAAGGTGGAAAGGAAGGAACTGTGGGAGTTGAGATGAGAGGGAGCCTCTACAGAGGGATTGGGCCAAATAGGGGCCACATCCTCAGCCTGCAGAGCATGTGCTGAAGTGCCCCAGGCACCCCAGTGCACTCGCAGGGCACTAGGGGATAGTGGACATTTTGAGGAAAACAGTAATACCTGACATTTGTTGGGACACCATACAAACTACTAGCTTGAAATAGTTTACAGGTTTATTTTTAGGCCACACTACATTCCTTTCAGTGACGTCGTATCTTTAAGAAGCTGGGTTTTCGGCAGCTGCTTTGAAAACTCAAAAGGCTAGTGCTGTGTGAAAATCCAGGTGAAGAACAGGTGACAAGAGTGGGAGCACCTTGTCTGATTCCAAGGCGTGGGAAATGGTGAGCTACCTGACAGGCACACGCATCCCACTGGGAATTAGTTTTGGTTATAATATTAACATTTTTCTTTAGATTTATATGAATTATTTTTTCAAGTAGAAATACTTACTAGGTTAGACGTAATTACTTAAATCAATGCAACGGTTGACATTCCTAGCCACATTAGGGATTTCTTTTGGCCTAGAGGTCTATGGAGGAATTACTAAATTCCTCATGTACCTATGTACTGAGAACTTTGGGAAGCTCTGGGCCCGGTCCCAGATTTCGATTTTGTGGGCAAGAATGTACTTTACCAGAGTGAGGAGCAGCCTGCAGCCTGCAGGGCATTTGAACTGGAGGCAGGAGGTTAGTAAGGGGTTGCTGAAGTGGTAGGGGGATGGAGAGGAAGAAGGCCTCACTAGGCAGTCATCATCAGGATAGAAAGTGGGCATGGGATTCAGGAGAAGTCTGGACGCTACAGTGGACAGGATGTGGTGACTGAATGCAACAGTGTAGTAAAAAGAACACAGGGTGATTCCCGGGCTCATGACTTGAGAAATGAGACCACTGTTGTGCCTCAAAGTGACATGGGAGGCTATAGAAAGAAGAGAGATAAGGTTCTAAGTGCAGGCGATAATGACCTCTGTTTGGGACTGGCTTCATTTGAGGTGCCTCTAGGAGAGCCGAGTGGCATATGCACAGCTGGGTTTGCTATGCAGCAGGAAGGCTAAGTTGGAGACAGATGAGAGAACTCACCACTAAGGAGGTAATAATGGAAGCCAAGGGTCTGGTTGAAATTTCTTCTCCCCCAGTCCAGGGTGCAGCGGGTGAGTGAAAATATGTGTGTTCTTGTGTCTGTCTTCCTAATGGGGAGAGAAGACTGTTTGTGGCTCTGGGGAGCATCACCATTTAAGGAGGGGGAAAAGGAGACAGAAGGAATTACCAGAGCACTCCAGAGGGCTCCAAGACTGCATGGTGGGATCTTAGAAGGCCAGGAGGAGGGGAGCAAACAGGAAAGACTCATCCACAGTATCAGTAGGATGCCAGCTGAAGTGTTTTTGCTGTCTCCTGGTTATTGGTGACTTTGATGAAAGCTGTCTACTGTTGGTCATGGGGGGTGGAGGCCAGATCACAATGGAGGAAGCTGGGAATGGTAAATGAGATAGTAGGGGCTTGCATATTCATTACTGTCTCACAGAGAGAAACCTGAGGCTAAGAGGGGTCTTGGATCAAAGGATGGGGTGGGTTTATCTGGTTTGGGGTTTTTTGTTTTTAATGAGAAGGAGTTATTTCTGTGCTGCTAGGAGGGATCAATGGAATAGGTGGGGTTAAAGATACAGTAAAGAATCTATAATTGATGGCTTGATGTGACAAGGTCCTCAAGGAGCCTGAAAGGAAAGGGTGGGATCCAAGGGCAAATCTGAGGTATGAGAAGGAGGACGCACAAGGATGGTTTTGAATAGACAGTATTGTTGGTAGGGGCATGAAGGAAGCTTAGTGGTCTATTGCAGTTAGCCTGTGTTCCCAGCAAACCTGGAAACAAGGTTCTCATCTGTGCTCAGGCCTCAGGCCACAAAGGGCAAGGCAGCAGAGGGGCAAGACAGCAGGCCGAGCCATATTTCCCTTGCCGTAGTACTGCTGTGCCCCTCTGGTACCGAAAATCAGGAGTTTCCAGTGCAACATAATATTATACAAGTTACACTGTATTATAATGTGTATTGTCTTTTAGTGTGTTAACCAAATTACTGCAATATTAAATGCAAATTATACTTTGTTAAACTGATTCTTCTCTTCATTTTTAGTTAGAAATCCTGTGTTCTGTCAACATTCTCCAGTTTATATTCATTGCCTTAAGACTGGACAAGATCATCCACTGGCCTTGGCTTGTATGTAACTTTTAAAATGCTTAAATAAACTTCTTTTTATATTATAAAAGTAATTCATATTCACTGTAGAAAGCTTGGAAAAGACAGACAAGCAGAAGTAATAGCCTAATAGTCACCCATAATCCCACTATGGGGAGATAACATGGTTAGTGTTTTTTATGTCTGTGTTTTATATAAACAGTTGGGATATAACTGTGTGTACCGTTTTGTATCCTGATTTTTTTGTTTTAATGTTGTATCATAAACATTTTATCATGTTAATAAAAGGTCTTTATAAACATGACTTCTAAAGTTTAATTGATACAAAATATTCTTCAAGTGCATGTATCAAACCATCCTCTTATTTCTAAAATATGGTATTTCCATTGTTGCCAGTACTGAATGATTTTAAATCATGCTGCAGTGTATATGTTTATGCATTAAAATTTTTGCCTTAATTTTTTTTTTTTTTGGTTGTTTTCTTAGGAAATAGTCCAGAAATAGTGTTACTGGGCTACAGGTTGGGAACTGTTTGAGATTCCTATATACATATACTACACTGCCAACTTGCTTTTCCAAAAGCCATACCTGGCCAGGCGCAGTGGCTTACACTTATAGTCCCAGCACTTTGGGAGGCCGAGGTGAGCTGATCACTTGAGCTCAGGAGTTCGAGACTAACCTGTGCAATGTAGCGAGACCCTGTCTCAAAAGAAAAAAAAAAAGCCATACCCATTTACACTCTTGCTGGTGGTGGCATCTGTCATGCTTCTAAACTGTGACTTCAGTTACTGGGCATTTGGTTGAAATTAACCGTGAATAAATGGGTGGATGGATGCAGAGACAGAAAGATAAGTGGCAAGACAGAAATTAGAGAACACAGTATAGTTTCCACTATTAAATGCATGGAAAAAAGATGGAGACTAAAGGCAGAAGAGTTCTATTGCCACTGGGAGGTAAGGTCATGCTAGTGTTTTTGTTTCAGTTGTATTTTCTCTGTTGTTTGATGTATAATTTTGCATACAATATATTTTATGTATTAAATATAGTTACCTTTAAAAAGTAAAAAGTACAGTAAAGAATTGGGAGCAGAGAAGAAACGAAGGGAAGCTAAATACACTCCATACTTAAAGATGGGAATAATCACTTCTGCCCAAAGTCTTTGTTTTTATTCAGCCACTCATCCTACAACTTCACAGTGCTGTATCTGGAGAATGGTCATTGGGTTCAAAACTGTTTCTGTTGTGACATGGAGGAAACATGTCCAAACAAGACCAAATTTTTTAGTATAAGATACTGTCAGGGAAAAAAAAATGATTAGTAATTTTTAGTGCTTTCCACAAATGAGAAGAAAGATTTTTTCTGCCCTTCATCCTCTGTAGATCCCAGTTGATGAAGCAGTCTGAGTACATGTTTCCCATAGTGAGCAAGAGACAAGAAGAAAGGCTATTGAGATCAAACATTCCACCCATGAAAGAACTTCAGTAAAAAGGAGAATCTCATCACAGAACGGGGAAGGGGGAAGAAAGGCTGTGCATGGACTCTGCAGAAAAACCTGCGATCAAAAACTCCAGGCTGGTCAGGAGGGGTAAAATTCCTATGCCAACTCAAATCATAGATCTAAAAGAAAATGTGAAACTATGGATCTGTTAGGAAATAACATAGGACAGAATCTTTGGGGTTTGCAATTAGGCAAAGAGTACTTAGAAATGGCACTGTTAATATAGTTCATATGAGAAAGAAATCATAAATTTGGACTTCCTCAAAATTGAAATGAAGACAGACCACAGACTGGGAGAAAATATTTGCAAAGCACACATCAAAACACTGACTTGTACCCAGAACATACAGAGAACTCTTAAAAACTCAAAAATGCAAAAAGAAACACCTACTTTAAAAATTGGCAAAAGAGTTGACAATTTGCAAATGGGATATATGCATGGGGAAAAAGCACAGGAAAAGATGCTCAATGTCATTACAGGTTAGGCAAGGCAAACTACAACCAGGATGAGGGCCCGAAACACATGGCTTCAGAATGACGAAACTCAACAACACTGACAAGGGCATGTGCCCAGGAGGATGCAGAGGAACTGGGACACTCCAGTGTCACTGGGGGGAAGGCAGATGGTACAGGCATTGTGGAAAATGGTTTGGCAGTTTCTCATGCAGTTAAAAGCACATTTACCCTGGGATGTGGCTGCCCCACACCTAAGTATTTACCCTAGGAAGTGAAAGGGCGCAGCCAGGTAGAAACCCACACTCTAGTGTTTGTAGCCACCGTGTTTGTGATAGCCAAGGGCTGGAAACCATCCGCAGCGGAGGGTTGGGTAAACAAACTGTAGGCATTGATATAATGAAATACCACTCAGCAATGAGAGGGTCCACCTGTGGATACAGGGCGGGAACAATTTGGATGAATCTCAGAGGCATTATGTGGATGGCGGGAAGCCAGTCTCAACAGTCTTGTCTCGCGATGTCATCTACATAAAGTTCCAGCAGAGACAAAAGTACAGTGACGGAGAACATCTATAAAGTTCTGGCAGAGACAAAAGTACAGTGACGGAGAAGCTGGATCAGTGTTTGCCGGAGCTAATGGTGGGACAGTGTGGATAGTGGAGGGACAGCACAAGAGAGTTTTGCAGGGTGACAGACCTCTTCCACATCCTGTCTATGGCTGTGCGAATTCACACTTGGGTGAAAACTCAGGGAACGCATTACCAAAGGAAGACAGTCACTTTTCCTACTGTATGATAGATAATTAATAAAAAGGGAGAACAGAGAAGTGTCATTCCAGGGGCAGGGCAGGGAGGGTGACGACGTGTCACAGGGGAGCTCGGCTGCGGGCGCCCCAGAACTCATCCTCGCTTGTGTGTGGATGGGAGACAAGGTCTAATGGTACGACAGCAACATACTTGGAATGTACCCTTGCCGGGAGTGCAGGGACCCGAAACAGCCCTATGGGACCAGGCATCAGCCTGTATCCAGCATCAGCCTGTATCCAGCATCAACCTGTCAAGCCTACTAATCTGGTAGGGGTGAGGTTAGGGATCCTTAGGAGCCCAGGTGGCAGCCACATCTTCCGGGAGCCCTTTCCCTGATTTGTGTTGCCAAAGTACCTCAGCAGGTTGTGGGAATGTTGGCTGTGAAGAGAGTCTGTTGGGGTGAGATCTTGTGTGTGTGCACAGGGTGACAGCTGTGTCTCGTTTCTGGGAAGCTGTGATGGCAGCAGAGCCTGGGGAGCCTGAACGAGAGGAGAGGGTGGGCTTGGCAGTAGAGGCTGCGAAGCCAGATGCAGGGGCTGTCTGTCACCTAAAGAGGAGGGACTGAGGAGTCACTGAGCCGCTCAGGTTGCAAATCACAGCAGGCCCCATAGTAAACAATTATACCTTTTCCGTCCTGGATATCCTCAGAGCAGGTCCTGGGAGTGTAGAACTGCCTCATTCAGCTCTGAGGGACCGCCAATGCAGAGACACAGCAAGGTGCTAAAGGTGCCTTCCCCATCAGAGGTCAGGTGGGAAGCTCTAAAGAGACTTCTTCTCTCCACTCCCAGGTTGTGTGTGTCCTGGCTAGATTCTCATGTCTTTTCTGTGCCTGCGGTCCTCTCTTACTACATCGTGGTGGTCCGCCTTGTTCTTGGCGCCTATGGATGTGATTGTTGAGCAGCGCAGGGACACACATAAACCATGGTCTGAGCTGATGACCATCGCCGTGCCCTTCTTACGCTTGAGGGCCCACGGGAAGCCTCTTCAGCTCCTGAAGCTGCTTCCCTGACAGTGATTCTGCACCCCTGAAAGGCAGCTTCTGTCCGTCAAGCTTCACAGTGAGCCCACTCCAGAGAGAGGGGCAGAGAACACGGCCATCTCTGGGAGGGAGATTTTGGAGAAAGGAAAGCATCCTTCCTCTTGGGGGCAGTGTGTGGGCCTGGCAGGGAGAAGAGGCACCGTTTTTAGCCATGGTGCCTGTATGGCTCCAGTTTCACTTTGGAAGAGCAGAGTTGGATGGATTTATGTATTGGAGTCACATGGAGAATTCTAGAATGGAGCTGTTGACTCTTAGAACAAACACTGGGAAGAGTTTGCCATAAACTGCTGGCATTGGGAACTTTCAAGTGAGAGGCTACTGCTGAGCTCTGGAAGAGGGACATAAAAGCTCATTTGAGTTTTCCCCATGGATGGGTGGTTTCCTACTCTTTCAAGGCGGTGCTGATGCTCCCTCTCTGAGCTCAAAGGTGTGGGGTGGTGGGAGGAGCTGCCTAATGAGGTCTGGCTTTCCGCCTCTATCCATTTTCGATGTTGGCACTGGGCCAGGACTATGTCTCTTAGATTCTGCTGGTTCACAAACTGATGGCCACAACGCCTTCTCCATCTCCCGATTTTGTCCCCTTGGCCTCTCTTGATCATCACGCTGATGGCAACCACATTTGGACAGAAGGGGAGGAAACCACTGTATGTACTCAGCATTTGAGAAGTCCTTGGTGTGTGTGTGGGGTGGGACCATGGGTGGGAGCTTTGATAGAAGTCTAGGAAGGGATGAGTCTCCAGGGCCCCAATTTAGGCTTTTGTGTGGGAAAGCGAGGGCTGGGGAAATTTGGACCTCTCTGAAGGGAAGGCATGCCATAACTCCAGGTTCTGCTGGCCTGCACTGGGACTTTTCCGCAGCGCACGCTGCCATTTGAAGAACTAGACACAAGGCAGGTAACCTCTAGAGATCCTGCCCTCTCTGCAAAATGGGGATCGGCATAGATTCTTCCCAGGCCTGCGAGGGTTTGATGGAAAATCCACATCTCCCACCCAAACCCTGGGATTCATCCTAGGTCCCTGTTGGCCCTCGGCTTCCCCATTCCAAGCTGCCGTCACCTGGAGCCTTCCTGCCTGTCTTGGGTTTTGCTAGCACTCTATTCTCCATCTGTTCCTGCTGAGGCAGACACTGCCAAAATGATCTCGCAGAGGGTGCTTCCTGGCGCAGGCTGTGAGCCCACAGCATGGGAAGCTCAGAGCACTGCCCGAAAGCCAGTGGGTTTGGGGCCGGGCTCACTGCAGCCCAGCAGCCCAGGTTAGTGCTTGCTGTTTGTGCCTGTACCGCCGAGCAGGGAGGGGGTCGCACCAGCTGGACACCCAGCATTGGGACTGGGAAAGGGCTTTGGCGTGGCTCCATGAGTTCAGGCTCACCTGGCCAGACCCACGCATGACTACTGCCCTCACAGACTTAGAGGGTGACGGGAAATCTTGTTTTGGGGTGGCACTATTATCCATGAGTTTATCCTGGCTGGAGAAGATTAGCGGAAGACACCATAGTTCACGACTATGATATTTGAGATCTCCTGGGAGCAGTAGTTCTCAAACTTGGGCACCCAGCAGAATCCCAAAGGGCCAGAAAGGGGACTGCTGGAGTCCACCTCAGCCTCGACTCAGTTTCTGGAAGTCTGGGCCAGTTCCGAGAAAACGGCATCCCTAACAGACTCCGGGACGCTGTCCCTACCAGTCCGGGAACCCTACCCAGAGAACCACAGAGCCAGCACTTGTAGTCACTTCCCTGTCTCCAAAATTTGCCCTTGTTCAGGCTTTGTGACTCAGGAGTCTGGATAAAGTATATTATGACGTTGTAGGAGTGAAACTTTTGTTATGGAAAAGAAAGTTAACAGGAAGGCTGCTGAGCCTCGTAGGAAACAAAACATTCTTATTTTTCAGGTGGTTTGCATCCAGAAGATTTCTGTCGCTTCTGCTGAAATCTTCCCATTTCTACGAATATGAATATTCTACAGATCTCCATCACGAAGATAATGAAGAAACCGTAAGAGACCCCAGTTCCAGAGCCTCCCAAAATCGCACCCATGTTTCACAGAAAGAAGGCCAGGGTGGTCATTACTCAGAGCCCTGGGAAGTATGCCCTCACCCTCCCAAATTAAATATCGAAATGCCAGATTAGATGCCACTCGGGACAGAGCTTGAAGTGACTGGGACGCGCTTCTCCACCTTCCTCTGCTCCCCCTCGTCACTCCCACAAACCAGAAATCCGCACTGGAGCTGGGCTCTGTGGTACGTCCATCTCATGCCTTGTTTGCATCCTGCGCCTATCAGCCACTCACCACGACGGGACGGGAAGTGGCAGGCAGACAGGGGTGTGTGCCAGCAGATGGATGCAGAAGAGGTGTGAGAACAGGGGCGGGATTTATCTGTCTGGGAGGGCTCCAGGTACCCTCTTCCTCGCCAGACCTAATGGGATGTGGCTGCTTACCAGGTCCCCAAAAAGGAACATCTGTCTACACGGTGCTGAAATCCAATCAAAAGTGTTGTTTAGAAATGTTTCCTCACGGGGTGACTCCTCTCAGCCTCGCTCACACTCCTGAGGTCCTCAGCACTCCCAGGTCAGAAGGCGCAGCTGCAGGAACTGTAACTAAGGGGTTCTGATGCACCACGTAAGCCGCTAGACACAGCACAGTCCTTTTTCTGTTCCTTCCGTGGGAAGTAGTTTCTCTTTGGGCATGCTGACAGCATTTTCATAGCCTCACCGATGAGCCTCAAGTGGAGTGACTCCATGCCTGTATACAGAGTATTTATACAAATGTTTTAGCATTCTACATGCGGTTAACCCCCAGTTCTGTACAGCACATTCTGTTCAAGCATTTTTTACAGTTTCAGAGCTGTAGGCACATGATCTGCTGCAGAAGTGGACACCCGTGGCACACCCACCTCACTCTGTGCAAGTGCCATGCCTCCCTGGGACATTGCCACTTCTGCCCTGAACTCATGGCACGAGTAGCTAAGTACTGCTGCACAGCAAAGCCAAGCAAGAGATGGTCCATGCTTGACGCTCTCAGAATAGTGAAGGCCTAAACCTGGGATGCGCTGCTTGAAGCCGGAACACTGAGAATGTCACTGAGAGCAGAAATGCCACGCTGGTCACGATTATGCTTAGAAAGTCTCCGGCCCTCCGCCAGCAACAAGAACGGGCCAGTAGGCACGCATGTTTTCATGTGCGCAAGCCGCTTCTCCAAGCACTGCAGGTTCCGCCTGCAGCCGGAGGCCACAAGCTCACATCCTCCTTCCCGAAACAAATAGGTCCTATGCTGGAAAAAGGGTAAAAAATGAGTACTGATCTTCCCAGCCAGGAGAAGAGTGTGGCGTTTAACACGAACTCAACTGCTCGCCGGCATACTTGGGGTTAATCTGAACTCTGCTGCGAACATGACTCCGCCCTGCACTGCCTCCCAGCAAGCCCTGTTCTTCTTGGGTACGGGGAGCAGGATGTTTAGCCTTTCCTGCTCAGTGTGTAAAAATTGTAGCGAAAGCCACTATTTTTGCTCAAACTGTTCAATAACTGTTCCTGCTTACATGTGCACGATGTGTATCTTATTTGCTGGATGGCCCAGGAAACTGAATGGCCTCCAGCCAGCCTCAGAGGAGAAATCTGTAGCTGGCACAGGCAGCCGAGTGAGCAGCTCATGCAGGCTGCTGGGACACAGCCTTAGAATGAGTCCTTGAGTGCACAGCTCCTGTGGGACATATGGGGTAGCGGGAAGGAGGACGCGCAGATGCCACTGTTGGCTGGGCCACACCGTGCCACACTTGCAGAGCCTAGAGGCTTTCTGGAGTGTTCTCGGGTGCTAAGACAAACTGCAGCAGACACTGTCCTTTACTGCTGCTGGTCCTCGCTTGCTCCCAGTCATGTCAACAGCTGAGGACTGCTCATGCTGCAACAAAAGGCTCTGCAATTGCTGTCTAGCTAGCCCTAGCTGTCTCTAGAGGTTCTGCCTGGAACTGAAACTCAAGTGTTCAGCTCATGACTTGGGGCAATTGACGAGAAATCCACCAGTTGCTGTGGCTGGAAGGATTTGCAGTCCTGTGGGTTGTAACCAGAGGCCACAGGTGGATTCTGCCCTGTGCCCGCGATCACCTACTGTTCAAGAAAATACCAGAAGTGACAACAGAAGCAGGACCTGGAATCGCCAGGTGCCTTGCTAGTTCCTATTCGTCCCACTGGATCCTCGCAGCCCTGGGAAGCAGGTGCTACTACTCTTATCCCCAGGAGGAGACAGAGGCTGAGAGAGGTTATGGACTCTGCCCAAGTCACACAGCTTGGCAGCGGCTGGTCGAGACACCAGCATCAGCAGTCTGTCATTCCCACTGTCACCCCCGAGCCAGTGCGTCTTGGCCCTGGGGTCAGGATGTTCCTGCTGTGAGGCATCACTGGTTTGTGGAAGTCTCTGGAAGGTCCCTGAGCTCTGTGCCCAGAATTGAGTCAGGGGAATCTGTAGAGAGGTGGCCCTGTGTGTGGGGACAGTGTGTGACACAGACACTGCTTTGGAGGAACGCCTCTCCCGTGGACTCCTTAGCATCACATCCCAAAGGAACAGAACCCTTGCAGAGATGGACTCCTCACAAACCCACGCATGCTTTCTCTGGAGACACTGCCAAGGGAACAAGACATGCTCAAGGCCAATATTGCATGCCCCACTCACGATGTGACTGCAGAGACCCGGGTGAGAAGAGGTTCTGCTTGGTGGGGATACAAGGGCCAAGGAGGCGGGAAGAAGGCAGCTCCGACTCCGCCACTGGACTGCATGAGACGCTGGTGGGGCAGTCAGCTGCCTTGCGTAAGTGGCCTTCGGGCATCTGCGTGCTGGGGACCTGACAGTGTGGGTGTGTTAGGTGGATCTGTTGAGCACATTGTTGCCGCTTGGCTAGGACAGGGTAGGAAAGGGTGGCGTGGCTACAGCCTGACCCGTGGCACCGTCCACTCCTTTATTCTGTGCTTCAAAGTGTCAGTCGTGGCTGGTGTGTTCTGTGGGCTCGTGATCTAGGACGGTGAGTTTGACCTTCCTGAGCCAGGGCTTTGCTGGGTTCTGGCTCTGGCTCAGGAGCTTCAGGACAAGGGGCCGCTTCCAGGTCTGAATCAAGGTGTGGCAGGGCCCTCTAACACCCTGTGTACTAGTGTCGCTCTTTCCCATTGAAATGACTGTGAGACTAGAATGTACATGCAGATGGGCAGCTACTTGTCTGTTGGCCTTTTTATTACATAACTTGCTGGTTTAGAGATCACCCCCAGCAGTCAGAGCCCGCTTGTGATGTCGTGGGGCTGGTTACATGACTGCTAAGGGTGCTGTTGGCCACACTGCACTAGTAAGTTTTGCTAGATGGAGGACAAGCCATCACTGAGTGTGGTTTCAGAAGAAAGAAATTCGAGAGGACAGGGTCATGGCTTGACAGGGTGCCTTTTCCTCCCCCAGTTGTACTCAGAGACCTACCTTCACCTAAAGGTGATCCTTCCCAAGATGACCAGTGTCCACTGGGAGCCCTAACTTCAGCTGCTGACAGAAGAAATCGCCTCCCAAGCTCTGGCCGAGGAGGCCATTCAGAAGGCCGCGCCTGATGGTGACATCCCGCCCCAGGAGAAGACAATCTCCTCTCCCCTCCTTTCCGCAGAAACTGGTGGAGACTGGTCAGCAGCAATCGCTCATCCACCTGGTGGGATGAAGGAGGGGCTTTGCAGTGATCAATCAAAAACTCTTTGAAAAGGAGATTCTCAAAAGGACGCCGCATACAAAGTGTTTAAGCACAGATCTTCAATACAAAGAGCTTCTTCCGCCAGCTAAACTTGTATGGCTTCCAAACGGCGTCAATGTTTCTTTCAGGACCCCCTTACCCACGTTTTTCCCCGCACAAAGGCCGGTTCTATCTTGAATAAGGTAATGATCAGCAAGCCTCTGAGGGGTTAAGTCTGTGGGGTTCTGGGTCCCGCTGAGGGAAGTCCCAGGACTGCCTCCTGGGAAGTGGGTGACCTCAGGCAGGGTGTGGGGCCATCACTGTGGGCCTGTCTCCTCTGGGTGGAGTGTGTGACATGAACTAAGAGGAATGAGAGAGGGCTGAGGATGGTGCCTGCTCCTCTGAGTGTGTAAATATCACAGGTGCTAAGTAGCTTATCTGCATGTCCTCCTACCCGGGACCAGCCATGTCCTCTGGTGGTTGCTGTGTCCCCCTGACTCCATAGCGCTGTACTCCTGTGAGGTGAGCAGGCCAGGGGAGTCCGGCATTTGTACCACTATCACCCTAGCTGGTGTCGGAGAAGGCTCAAGTTGAAGCGCTGAAGGGCGCCCAAGGAGGCAGATGTCTCACGTCTTTGTAGGTGGGGCCCTGGTGTGAAGAGCCAGTACCAGGACCTCCAGCCCAGCTGGGTGCATTCTGTTGCCAGGCTGACACTGTGGGGGAGGCTCAGAATCATCTTCTCCTGGTCTGCAACTTCAAAGATCTCTTTCCATTGCCGTACATCTCTAATTCACATTTGAGGCTTTTTCCAAGACGGAAAGGCCTGCCACAAATTGGTAAACCTTGATGATGGTAATTAGTCCTCAGCTTCCTTTGGGGACTGGACCTTCCAGAAAGTCCTCCTGGGCTGTAGAGTTTCTGCATTGTGTCAGATATTGGGAGTGCCAGCTCATCCTGGGACTGAAGTTTCTTTCTTTATTTAAACTTGGACTCATAGTTAGAGTTCTACTGCCATCCCTACTTTCAAAGAAACTCCCCTCACCCCTCGCCGTGAGGATAGAAGAGAAGAGTGGGCGTCGAAGTCTGCACCAGGACATCAGGAGGAGGACAAGCCAGAAGCTGCTGGATCCTGCCCGGTACCAGCAGACACTGAGCAACAAGATCACACATCTCGAATGAGAATGATCAGGGTCACGCCGCAACACCAGGAAGCACAAATGGGTCCCAACACTCCAAATCAGAAGTGCCCTGCTCTACCAGCAAGTCCTGTGATGGTGCCCGATCCCGCCATGGCAAGTGACAACACTCCAGTGACTCCAGCGCCGGCGAGTGGTCAGAGGGCAGCCAGGCTCACGCCACCCGGTGGCCGCTGTCCCTGGGCCTGCAGCAGCCTTCCTCTCTGTCCCCTGGATCTCCACCCAGATGAATTCTACGGGTCCAGTG